GTATAAGCTGGAGGAAATTGATGTATGGGGAGGGAGAGTACAGTAGGTCTCATCAATTAGTGTTAAATTATGGTAGGTAGGTTTGATGAAAATGAAAGTGGAGATATATATTAAAGTTAAAACCCTTACTTATACAGCATCAATTATTTGTTTATGGTAGACCTTAAATATTATACTGAGTAAACATTATTTTTCACGTGGATAATGAACCGACACTCTAATTTTATCTCTCTAATTATTACTCGAATTTTATGTTTTTAATTATTTGTATGTAAAGAATTATAAATTTGAGTTAGATTATATTTATATATATATATCTTATTATTTGTGTTATTTTGTAATTGGTGTATTTATCTCACTTATCTTATCTTATAAATGAATATATATATATATATATTCTGTTAAAAAAATAAAGTAAAATGAATGAATTGACAAATTACATATATGTATATAATTAACTATTCATATATATAGAAGTTGGTCAGCTCATTTATGCTGTTGTGGCACTTTATTATTATTATTATGATTATTATATAAGATATGTTATTACCCATTTAAAGAAAGGATTGAACATGAAGGAAATATCTAGGAAATTCTATATACTTTATGTATGTATAAACCCCTCCTCAATAATTTTTTTTCATTTAATTGACATCTAACGTCCATAATTTCAATCAATATCAAGTAATCAATCAACTACATACGTATACATGATTTCACATACCATATATAATATATAATATAATATAATATATATATGGGGTAAATTAACAGACATCTCTTTTTCAGAAAAGTATTATATCATGTATAAAATAGGAGAATGAGCCATTTCGCTGAAGAAGATGGAACAAAAATTAGGAGTCTTTTCTAGACAAACAAGGAATTAAAAGAAAAAAATCATATATAAGAAATGTATTGCCCTCTTTTTCTTAGTGAATAGTTAAAATTCATTCATAAAAATAAAAAAGATTCCCATATAGGGTATTATCCATCCATATGAAGTAGTAGATGCTCGTTGTGCTAGTTCACGAACTATCTTATTACCAATCCGAAAATTAAAAAGGAAAGAAATAAAATTCAAAGTATGTTTCTAATGAAAAATAAATCATCAACAAAGTGAATCAATATCTAACTATGAGAACGGGAGAGAGTGCACTAAAAAAAATAGCTTTCTAAGAACTTTCTTCGGGTAGTCTTGTGAAGCCAAACCAAATAGCTACTTAGAGTCCATAGATGAGAGCATGTGCTTTTTGCCATTTATGTGGATTGTGGAGTTAAAAACTCTTCTTCCTATATTATCTTGAAAAGCTACTCCAAAACTGATTCAACTAGATTGTTCTATCGAAGCATCATAGTTAATTTTATATATATCTGCTTGTGGTTGAATCTAGTATTATGAAGACTCTTCTTGTCTTGAAGCAAATAGTAGAGTACTAATATTTTTTTATCATTTGTAGGTCTGCTATGTATGTCTGTAATAATGGAAACGAAATAAGACTGAATATATTTATCTAAGTATATCAATTAGTTTTGACTCTACTATATGTCTTATAAAACGCAAAAAAAACTATATTTTAGAATTGACGAGATAAGTTAATAAAAATATAACTATAATTTTAGTTACCATTTATCCATCATCAATTCACTATCTAGGAGATGAATATTAATTGATAATTATCAATAGAAATTATTCATAAAAAAATATATCAAAATTGACAAGATACATTAGATAAGAAGCAAACTATAATACTGTATTTATAAAAGAACACAAAGGATCAAATTTCAATGGTCTACAAAACTGAAATTCGAACATGTGATTGTGTTCCTCAAATTTTCCAATAAGGTGCTTGTTTGGAATTATGTTCTACCTCAGTGACAAGAATTACCCTTAATTTGTCAATAGATTGGAAGTAGTTTTGTTATATTATATTTATTCATCCTTAGAATAATAATAACTATGCTTTTGGTTATTAACATATGATGGTAATGGTAACATGCGTGACTAATTAAACATAAGTCATGACCCATTAATTAAGGATAAACCCAAACAATAAATTCTATAAATCAAATATTATATATCGATCATAATCGATGCATAACATGCATGCAAAATAATAAGATATGTATTCGCAAGAATAAAAATATTAACTACTAAATTATCCGAATGCATATTACAAAGTCCGCTAGCGTGAAAGCATTCTGTATTAAAATTCTGTGATGTTGTCTATTTTT